AATAACAACATTATATGACAACAACATTTATAATGAAATAATAATTAAATATTATATAGTGAACAATAATAAGTAAAACTATTATTCTCTTAGATCGAGGAATAAATATGTATACTAAAATCAATTTATATTAGTATAGCTCCATAGAATTTTTTTATTAGCATAAATGTGTTAGTGAGATAATATATTAATTAATTTACAAGCTAGTCATACCATGTATATACTTAATGTTCTGGCTAAAAAAACGTTGGTTAAAAGATGTGGAAAATATATTATAAGCCTATTGTTTTTTAGATTTAACGTTGATTAAATGAGGTGAAAAATAGATAATAACCATATTGCTTTATAGACTTAAACGAACAGAGGCAGTGAAAATAACTAATTTAATATTTATATCCCGTGAGGCTGTGAAAATAACCAATTTAATATTTATGCCCCCTGCATCGCACGGGCTACGTACTAGGACAGAGTCTGTGAAAATAACTCATTTAATATTTATGTCTCGTGCATCGTGTTGTCGTATGATTCCTAACAACGATTTAAAGTTGAGTTTATGAGATAATTTCAAGTGGTTTGAACGTAAAGCATGTAAGAATTGTTCAACAATGGCCCCGGTCCGAGGTGAACCGAGGTGAAAAGCCTTTATAGGCTGTTACGCGTTGCATATTCATCAATTCGAGATCCCCGTACAAATGTCATAGGCTCGCTATTTATAGTAGCTTTTTTTAATAGATACATTGGGATTCGTGTATTATTTTTCGTATAAAGTAACTTTTGGTGGGCGGCTGGAGTAGTGGGTCCCACGTGAATGATGACAAACCTCGTGGATTGTGATAGGGGGTGTGTAGGCGCCTTGTCACCTGCTTTAGGAGGTGACGACCTCGGTTTCAGTTGACCTCGGCAGGTGACGACCTCGGTTTAAGTTGACCTCGGTAAGTTTAGGTTACTTCGGTCTTTAGTAGCTTGGACCGGCTCATTGCGGGGACTAGCAAGGTTTTGGATCACGTCAGTTTCAATAGTTAATTTCACTTAACATGATGCTCAAAACTCCTTAATGGTGTTTTGCCGAGTCGGATGAAAACACATCGTACGGGCTATGTACTAGTGATATTGAAACATAATTAATGCTCTTAAAAAATAATGTAAATATCAAGTATATTTATGGTTATTAGTACGAATCTCGTGCGATGCACGGGTAAGAGATACTCATTACTATTTTTAATTTAAAAATTTCAATGTTACATGAAATTTAAATTGTGCAAAATCGCATAGAACATGTCTATTAAAAATTAGTACACTACTCGTACGGTTCATGTGATTGATAATAAATTATATTATATTCATTTTAAAATAAGTGACTTTTTTAAATTCTTATTCAGAAATGCGATTTGATTACAATGTAATTCTATAAAATAATTATTTTGGTAAAAAATTTATCATATGTTTAGAAATATTTATAATATTAAGTATAATTATAAAACTTATAATGTTCCAGTAATTAAAATGAATTTACTTTTGTATAACCTATCCAAATAAAAAAAATTTATTAGTTGAGTAATTTATTAAACAATAAATAATTGATTATTCCATTTACGTCCAACTTAATATCGACCTGTAAGTTATGAATAATTACTTATTTGACTTTAAAGTTTGGAACTCAAATTTGGATTACAAAATAAATTCATATATATATATATATATATATATAT